CTTAAAAAATTCCATTTTCTTTAGTTTTTCTTTTTCTTTTTCTTTTTCCTTTCTGTCTTTCCTCTTCCTTTCCTTTGCCTTTTGCAACCCTAACGTCTTTTGCCATCTTTCCCAAATTGAGGCTTTCTAATTTCCCTCTCATCTCTGATCAACTTCCTTTCCTTCGATGTTTATTTATTTATTTATTTTTTTGGTCAGCTCCATCAAAACCACCTTCATCCATCACCTAATCAGACATTCCATTTTTTGAAAATCTAGATCTAGGTTTGTGGGTTCTCCAAACCTAGATATTCTTAGGGTTCTCTAGATGAAAATGAAGGATATAAGGGGAAGGAGAAAGTGAGAAAAGAACAAGGAGATTTTTGAGGTTTTGGAGTTAATGAGATGGCAAGATTGAGGAGATATCATAATCTAGGTTTCATAAATTTGATGTATTTATCTCTGTAACTTTTGGTGCCGTTCTTCTTTGGGTTTCTATATCATTGGATTACCTTGATATTACTTGAAAATTGGCATGATATGGTGTTAAAATCCTTGTTAGAAATACCATAAAATCAAAGCTAAAATCTCAGGGGCTTAGAGAGGTGTTTGCCGGTGGAGATATTGGGTTTTTTGGGTGAACACAAATGAAGAAATCATGTTTAGATTTGGGTATGTGTGTGCATGTGGGTTAATGTGCTAATTTCACTCTAACAATAGTAGTAGTCAATTCAAGTAATATAATAATAAAAATTAAGTATTATCTAATAGAAACTAAATTAATTAAGTATTAAAATTAAATTAATTTTAATTTTATTTAAACAATTAAAATTAAATGATTTGAATGAATGAATTAATTAAAAATAATTAAAGAAAAATAAATTAACTCTAAGTGACAGAAAGAGTTGAATTCTAAGCATCCAATTTCACCATAGTGAATTAATATAGAATTTAGATTAATATACTTTCATGATCTTTATTACTCATGTGATAGTGGAATTTCCTATCTTATATGATAAACTTTCTCAAGTTATGCTAATCTTATTTTCATCTATTAACCTACTATATTTTTATGTAAATATAATAAATAAAAATGCATTATATTTTATAAAATTCTCTAGTTTATTTAGAAAATCAAGTCCACTTATTACCAATACTGCATAAATCACATTAGTTTATCTCTAGTTTTTGTTCAATTAAGAGTATATACTACTAGAAGTTATTGCATAAAATCTCCTCTTAATCTCAATTGTGCTCTCTAATTCAATTTTAATGGTGGTCAATCATTAAAAAACATTAAAAATAATAATATATACTCTACATGAAATAATAAGTATAAAAATCATAAAATTCTATATCAAATTAATCAAAACTAAATTGTAGGCTTAGATGGCTAAATTATTTCATAATTAAAAAAAAAAAGGAAAATCAAAGATCCCATTATGAATATAAGAGTATTTGACATTATAAAATAAAATTCAAAAATAAGTAAAATTAGTTTGATGATATAAAATTTTTAAATTTTGTTCTTCTTTGGATAGAGTTCCTATATATTAGCTATCTCTTAATCTTCTTTTAATATTGAGTTTTTTATGAGCCATCACTCTCTTAGTGTCTTCTAAAGCTCCAAATTTAGTTTTTGAATGGGTATTTATAGGGTTTAGAAAACCTAATAGAAAAAGTAGGACATAAGAAAAAAAAAAAAAAAAAAAGAAAAAGAAAAAGAAAAAGAAAAGAAATTCCTAATTTTGTTTATTTCACGTGAATATGTTTCTAAAGGCTTAACAAATAGTGCTGATATCGCAAAATATGTATCGACACCATACCCGTGTCAGGTTTCTGGCCCCTTTTGCAATTTCTTCAATAGTAAAATAGTAGATTTGATTCTCTAGCTTTTGTATATGAGCACTTTGATCCCATAACTTAATATTCATTCATTTAGGTCCCCAAAAGGAACCTTTCTTTCTGTAATTCAGTCCCTCAACTTTCAAAAGATATTCAATTAATCCCAAAAACTCCTATTATTATGCATCAAGTCTTTTTTTGCACAAAAAATGAAAACTATGTAAAATCTATTGAAAATCACATCTTGTTCATGCAAATAATAACAAAATCGAGACTAAAATAATGGACTAAAGCATATAAAATGCTTCTCATCAAATTCTCCCAAACTTAAGTTTTGCTAGTTCTCAAACAAAATAAAAATAGACAAAACAAAAATGTAAAACCTAACTCACTTTCATAGGAATCATGATTACACTTAGCATGTGTAACAAGCTTTTACTCTATTCTCTTAAAATTGATGCTCCATCCTATTCTTCACACCACTTATCAAAAAATTTAACTCATGATCACCTAGTTTGTGTGTGTGAAAATTTCTAATAAGAAATTTTCGAGTCTAGGCCTTTACATTTTTGCCTCTTTTTTTTTTTTTGTGTT